GTGGTGAAGTGCGCCTGTAGTCCCAGCTACCGGGTACCCAGCCGCCTGGGAAGATGGAGTTCCACCTCATCCCCCACTCGCTGCCTGGCTTCCCTGACACCCAGACCATCCGCATCGTCTACGACATCCCCACAGGCATCCAGGTGGACTCCCATTCTGCCTCTCTGGCCCCCAGCCCCCACTCCCCTCCGACTCCTCCAGACGCTCCTCTGCCCTGCCACCACCTGTTCATGGTCTAAATCCCTGCTACTGTCCCTCCCTGCAGGGCCCTGAGCACCCCAACCCCGGAAAGAAGTTCACCGCAAGAGGATTCCCTCGCCACTGCTATCTACCCAACAATGAGAAAGGCCGGAAGGTGGGTGCCCAGTCGTGAGGGCACGGGAGATAGGCGCAGGCAGGGGCTCCAGCAACCACTGGCCTGGGCTGGTGGTCCCCATCATTCTCAATCCCTGCTCTCACATTCCTCCCCAAAGCAGCACCACAACAGCGATTGCACTGCTGCGCTTCAGCCTGGGCAACAGAGCCTGTTTCTTAATAAAAAATAAAAATGAAGAAGAAAAGAAAAGAAACCAATGTATAGGGCAGAGGGTGTGTCCTGTCTCCCTTTGCCAAATGGGTGCCAGAGAGAGTGTGGTCTGCTGCCCATGGTGACCCGCCGAGGGGCAGTGCTGACCCAGTAGGTGCCCTGCCCTTCCCAGTCCTCAGTCTCCCCTGCTGCCCACCTGCAGGACTGCACCATCTGCATGGAGCGGCTGGTCACAGCGTCAGGCTACGAGGGCGTGCTTCGGCACAAGGGCGTGCGGCCTGAGCTGGTGGGCCGCCTGGGCCGCTGCGGCCACATGTACCACCTGCTGTGCCTCGTGGCCATGTACTCCAATGGCAACAAGGTGGGTTGGGCAGGACAGTGGCTGGGGAGTGGGCAGGGAACGGAGTGGGGTTGGGGGGCCACTGGGAACTCACTGCCAGCCTCCCCTGCCCAGGATGGCAGCCTGCAGTGCCCCACCTGCAAGGCCATCTACGGGGAGAAGACGGGTACCCAGCCGCCTGGGAAGATGGAGTTCCACCTCATCCCCCACTCGCTGCCTGGCTTCCCTGACACCCAGACCATCCGCTTTTTGATGAATAGAAATGCTTACGTTTAATGGACTCACATTTATCCATCTTTTGATGATTGAGTTTTTGTGTCATTTTCACCCATATTTTCCACTAAATGTTTTTAAGTTTTGTTTTTGATAGTTAAGCCCTTAATTCACCTAGGGAGTGGTGAGGGAGCCATCTTCCTCTGTGATGTATCAGAATTCAATATATGGGAAGGGGCTGGGCGCAGTGGCTCATTCTGTAGTCCCAGCTATGATGGAGGCTGAGGCAGGAGGCTCCCGGTGACCCCGCCCCCGAGATGGGCCGGCGGG